TTTCGAGATCTGACACTTGGGATCACAGCTACAACAAATAGTTCAGTTTCAGATCCAGAAACCTAACCTAAACTGTGTAGAGTAAGAAGCAACACAAACACAGTGCTAGTGTACACAGGTTAAACTGTACAAAACTGTTTTTCTCTCTTAATTAGCCTTCATCTGATGTGTTCGTTAAGTATTGTTTTCCTAGTTGGATTTTCAGCCTCATTGAACTCTTTAAACTTCTCACTCCCATTAAATCAATATAAACTATTTTGTGATTCAGAGCTGGCTTCTCCAGTTATGAAGACAGTGTTTGCTAGATTTCTTCTTTTGATTAGTTTATTTTAAATTATTTACCTTGTCACATTCCTACAGATTAGGAACCTTTTGTCTGTGATTTCTTCTATTCTTTTTTAAAAGCAACAGAGTGGAATTCCACTTGTCAGTAAAAGCTTTGGCTCTGTGTTTTGCACTTCTCTGAGGGGGTGCAGATATTTACATAGAAGAGCTTGTGCACGTGAGAATATGAAAGGGGATTATGGTTTTGTAGGCAGGATAAGCTACATTGTGTTTACCATGAGATAAGAGGGAACTTGGGCAGTTGTTATAGAGGAACTGAAGTTCTGTTGGTTTCCAGAACAGTATTCTTGTGCTAGCCTAAGAGTATCAACACAGAGGTTTAACAGAATTTGAAAACTTCAAACTTTTAAAATTAATGCAAATTGACCTCCTGTTACACCCCTCCACAGACAAGATCCAAAGGTGTGAAGTTAATGAATACTTTTGCTGAAACAACGCTAGCTTGGCAGTCTGATGGTCTCATTGAGAGGTGAGCTGCCATTAAGCTACAGCCACGTAAAGCAAGGTAGGCTCTGCTGGAGCCAGCTATGGGCATGTCTTGTTCAGAAATAGCTGTGAAGCAGATTAAGCCTTGAGTGGTTCAACGGCCTCCCCTATATGGTGAGGTTAGAGTGTGCACACGGGCAGTCACCGCAGGACAGCGGCATGGCGCCTGTGTGCGCTTTTGCTGAGGCCAGGGTTGCTCATGCTTTTCTCCAGAACTCTGATAAACCTGCACGCAGGAACCAATGGTGGAGAGAGGATAAGCATCACCCTGTGGTGGAGCAACAGAGAGTGGGGGTGATATGACACCTTAATCTGTCAATGGCAGATAAGATGAAGGGATATGATGACTCTCTGTGCTTTGGAAATCAGCAGCTGCAAAGAAAGATGCTATGCCCAAAGAATGAAGAAGCTGGGGCACGGGTATACTTTCAGGGCCCCTAATAATTCTTTAGATTATTTCTACTTCAGTAAATAATAATAATAATGATTTAGAAAGTGGTTTCAAAACCTATGTGTGCAGCTGTGTATTTATGAAAGGTATGGTTTGAAGTTGCCAATATGGTTGGATGTCTGGGCAAAAGTGCACCTAGGCTGTTCTATGTCCCCAAGAGAGCACTGCAATTTTCAGGTATGTAGGGTGGATTTGTGGGTCTGAATTCTTGGCAGGTTTGTGAGTCAGGGTCTCAAACTTCAAGCAGCCCAGGAGAGCCAGCCTAGGGCTGTTGGTACTGGGTCGTAAGACGCAAAGACCCAGTGGAGCAGCATGGGTGTCTGTATAGGGAGAGTTTCATGAGCAAGGTCCTGTGTAGATAGCTACCATAGGATCTGTGTGAAACCAAGAGTATGTGTAGATAAGAATCAGAAGGCTCAATGTCCTTTAAACTGTCTGTTGGTTTAAGTCATTTTATTAGGGAACCGAGCTGAAAAGCTGTGGGAGGCTGTGACTATAGTCTCAGCTGGCATGGTTGTTTTCTGTTTGATGCATCGCCTGAGAATTATCTGTATAAAGTTGAGGTCTCCTGGAGAGCTGCAACTCAGCCAGCCAGATGCTTAGGTAGTGATACAACCCAATTCCAGCATAGCAGTCAGCTGTTGTTCAATACACACTTTGTAATCTTATTGATAAAATTATCAGTTGTCATAACATCCAGGCATATGTCTGGCTGCATGTGGACTCGGCCGTAGCACAGGAGTTTGCCATAGAAGTAGGAGAGAAGGAAGGCATTCCTTAGGGACAGAACTTAACATTTTTTTCAGCATAGATTGCTTTCTGTTTAAGCATAGAATTTTTCCTTCCATGATCTGTCTTATCCTCTAGTCTATAAAACAAGCTGGCTGAAATTAATACCTGTTGGTAATGACAGAAGTTGCTCCTAGCAATACAAAAGTGTACTGACTATATGTATTTCATACTGTCTGACTTCATGTATGGAGTAAATATAGTGCATGCTGCCTCTCTTCACAACTGGTGTCTGTCTTCACATGCCTTAGGTCATTTTAACCTTCTATCATCTTCTGGTTTTAATACCAGCAGGCAGAGGTATACATACCCGTTAGTGATTCAGCTCTAGGCTTGTTCTAACGGCTGTGTTGACTGCACAGACCTCCTCACAAGTCCTGGATTTTCTTATCTGGTAGGAGGAGAAGCACATCTTGTCCCTTCTTAACATGGGTGATCAAAATGCCAGGATCTACAAGCAACTGTGACTTCAAATGCAGGAGAAGGGAGCACCCTCAAGACCCTCCTCTGTTTATTTTTGGGCTCCTCTGAGGAATGGCAGAAGAGTTACAGAAATGAATAATGTTCCTTTTCGGCTCACCTGTGCTGAAGCACAGGGCTAGCTTTGGCCAGAGAAGCTACTGTGTGAGCTGCTCTTTAGTGAGTTGTGAATGGATTTCCCCAGAACCAGAAGGTCTCTGGCCTCTCCAGGGCAGTTCATCTCATACCTGTGACTGCATCTGCACGAAAGAGGTTTTGACCCCTCTCTCTGTGCCAGTACTGACCAGCTGAGATTTCCTAAGATAAGGCTTAGGGAGTCTGACAATGATTCTCTATCTAGTTCAGAAAAACATTTCTACATGCAGTTTTAAGACACCAGCATGTCAGGCCAGCAATCTAAACTCTGCTGGGGCCAATTTTAAAGTCAAATTTTTATAGAGGCTGCTTGGTTTAATTGCCACCAGAGTGGAGCACCTAGAGCGCGCTGTGAATACAGAGGCTGCTTCTGTCAAGATGCTTCCACAAACACCAACGGGTGCTTTTTAGCCTTGTTTAAAAATATTCAGTGGCACTCGCATAGTTTTCAAAGACCCCTGGGCAAGCAGAAAATTTTAAGAGCAGTTTATTTTATATCACTTGAAGGGACTTACAACAAAGATGCAAAATAATTGCGGTCCCACAGGTGTTCTGTATGCACAAGGGAAAATGCTGACTTTAACTGTATCAGGAATCACAATTTTTGTTTATATTTTTTTGTGTATTTTTTTTTCTGGAAATACCTAATTAAGCAGAGAACTAGTGAGTATGGGCTTCTGGAAGTTTTATTAACAGGACTTTTTTACCCTTTTAGTTGTTACTGAAAGTCAAATGTTGTAAAACCCTCAAAGCTGTTCAGTGTCTGTTCAGGCAAAGATGCATTCCTGTTATTTGGCAATTTTCTGACCTTTGCATTACAAAGACAACCTTATTCTTGGTGCTCTATGGCTTGTGTGTAGGCTGCTGGTTAGTGTGAAAATCTGGGAAGGGAAGCATTTTCAGAAACCTTGTGCCAGTATGCCACATATGGCCACTGTGTTAGCCACTCCCCAGCATGGTGGCACTCTGTTATGAACATCTAGCCCTACTTGACCTATACATTAGTAAATCTGCAGCCATGTAGTGTAAATTCAGGAAATGCTGATAGCTACTGAAGACCTACTGGTAACATCTTTCTTTAACATTCAGGGCACTACTTTCTTGTCTTCAGTGAGTCACAAGTAAAATATTTTAGCTTAAACTGCAGCAATTGCACTTAACAAGGCTTTTTTTTTTACTATTTTACTGGCTTTATCAGATCAGGAAACTCCACAGATGGCAGATTTATGTCAAATATTTAGGCTATATTGTTTTCTTTCCAAATTATTTGCAGCTGTGTGCTTTGTCAGGCTTCCCTGTTATCAAATATTTACAGTGTTTTTGCATGTGAGTCCATGTTATATGCAAATGCACTGTGTCAGTAGAAAGGCTGGCACTGCCCTTGTACTTGATGTTAATATTTACTCCCTCAGACATATCAATTACTACTACCTTCACTCTGGGGCATAATTTCATAGAAATCTGTAATATTCTGTTTGTAACATTTTGGATCTGGTCATATATAAATCGTTAAAGAAAGATCATTAAGAAAGGGTAACTAGGATCTGGTAAAGACTACCTGACCAAAACATATTCTTGATGAACCTCTGTATATTTTGTGTAGTGATAGTTGTTATAACATTACCTGTGCTGTAAAACTACTACGATGTAAAACAATCACAGTATTAAAATTTATATTCCAGTGGTGGAGCAAGAATATGTTTTTCTTACCCCATAATTTTTCCCCTCTAAAAAGGGATTAGGAATCTGTAATTGTTAAGATTTTTGAGTTTATAATCTGATTTTGTGTATTGTCAATTGAAATATTTTAAAATATAATTTCAGCTCATATATTTAATTTTGTCTGCTTTAATGTAATGTTGTTAAACATTTTGAGAGTAATATTCCAAAAATTGTAAGACATGCTTGCTGACAGTTTAGAAGTTACTGGGAAGAAAAGGGGAAGAAAGACACATAAACACACATGTAGAATAGGATCACATAAACCTTTATGTTCTGTGTATTTGTGCTTATATGTAACCTTTGAAGTTTTTCTCTATGTATCATTTCCTATAATAGTCTATAGATGACCAACAAGTTGGCCTGCAGGAAAGACGGCATGTAGGTCTAAAGCTGCTGGATATCTGGCACAGTTGTTTAAAATTATCTGTATGTTTGTGAACAAGTCACCCACGAGTTTGGATTTAGATTGGATTACATGTAAAGATAATCCCAATTAATCAACTGCTAGGACAACACATTACAGTGTTTAGATATTTATAGTAGAGCACCTACTCTCTATCTGCACTGAATTTGTTATTCTCTTGTTGTACAGGTTTTAGGGAGCAAGCCAGAGCTTCCCGATTGTGATGATGATGATGATGAGCTGGCCGATATTACGAACAGGAGAAACGCTAAACTGTATATGGTAAGTAACTTATTTATTTTAGTTAGGTACACTCAACAGTATTCATGCATTCATTCATCCCTCAGATATAGAGTTCTGGCTTCAGTTACAGAACTGCAGTTCTGTTAATTGATTTGCAGCCAACAGACAAGTTTCTTAAAGGATGTCAATCAAGACAGCCCTGGTAATTTGAGGAAAAAAATGGATTACAGTCCTGTTTACTCAGGAAACAAGTTAAGCATGGCCTCATGAACCACTCAGTGCAGGTCAAAGAAGAATTAACTCGTCTTAAATCAAATTGTAATTCCTGTCGTCTTCATTTTAACCGTGTGAGTTTTAGTAGTCATATATGATTTAGTTATTCTTAGCAGAGTTTGACAGATGTACAGTTAAGTTATATTTTTTATATAAATCCAAAGGAATTTGTATGCAAAACTCCTTTCTTTTGCAATGCCCTTTTCCTCCTTCCTCACCTGCAGTAGCTAAACACTGACTAGGACAGTGCCACTGCCAGAAAAATTACCTATAAACAAAATGGATTAAAGATTTACTCAATGTAAATCAGTAGAGTTTTATGATTACATTCAGCAAAATTATGGTTTTTCCTCACGTCATGCTAGGCTTACTGCTCTTTCTTAGAAGAGGTATTTAATTTGTTCTTCAAATTACCAGCACAGTATCTTACCTATATACAAGGCTACACAACTATTTCTTTTTCTGAAAAAAACTAAACTATTTTCAGGCCTGTATTTTCTCTCTGTTTTTTTTTTTTTTTTACCCCACACAGATTCCCTGTCTTTCATATTCTCCAGCTTGAGAAAAGAAGTAGGAAAGTATTTGGAAAAGGGGGATGTTTTTAATGAAATCTAGAAAAGACTCCATTCTTCCCCCTCCCAATAAAAAAGTATTATTTTCTCCTGCAGACTGCAGGAAGAGGGGTTTGGTTTTTTTTACAAGCTCTCATTAGCATCGAGATCTGGACCATTCTCTTCAGCGCTTTGTGCTCTGGCTTGTGCAATGCTATTGCCTCGTGTGACAGAAAAGCATCTTTCTCTGGCATACAGTGTACTTTCTTCCCCACAGTCACATAACAAGAAGGGTTTGATCGACAGGCGTCAGCACTCTGACAGTACGAAGTGCTACTGGGTCCCCATGTGTGTGACCTTTTAGGTACCATCTACAGTAGCTTCGAAGCTGCTGTGAAGTGTGGGAGAGGGTGAGTCGTTCCCTCCGCAGCTCCTGCATCCCGCAGACCACAGCGGGATGGAGCCACCTCTCTCCCTGCCCCTGACGTGATTCTTCCCCTGCCCGTATGTGTGGCCGGCATTTACAAGAATCCTATGGGAGATGATCATTGTTACAAGGCCGTTTTTAGTCCTCGTTGTCCATGTGCTGTGTTTGGTTCCCATTAATCATCCCATTCTTGCCAAAAAATCTGGCACATATTTATCTTTATAGCAGAGTTTTAGGGGAGAGAGGAAAAAAAAAGCAAAAGAAGGCCTGCATGTATGATCAGTACCACCGCAGTAAGACAATACTAGAGAAGAGAAAAGTGCTTGCAGTGAGTTTTCGAATCCTAAGAACTCTCAGGAAATTCCATGGATATCTAATAAATTCCTCTAAGTACACGGGTCCTGCTAACAAAGCTCTGTTAGCTAAATTTAAATGTGCTGCAAGTGAGTGTCAAAGTCAGGAGACAGGTCAATAGTGAGCCCTCATGGTAGGTAAAATAGTTGATTTTTATTTGTTATATGCAGTGGTAATTTCCATCTTGTGCTTCTGTAATATGCAACATAAGATATAATGATGTATTTAAAATTAATATTTAATTATCAAAGGAAATAAAGACTGCTAGAAAAATTATTGCAATAGTAATAACTTATTTTCAGTAGTAATAACTGGTCTTTTCAGCCATGCAGAAGTGAATTTTAAAAGGTTTTAAAGGTCTACGTGGACTTACAGTGGTGACAGAGGTTACAAAGCAGATTCTGCAACAGGTCTTATATTACAGTTTCCAATTAAAGAACTGCAGGTTATAAATGTAGGTATTTCACTTGTTAATACCAGTGTAGGACTATGTTATTATAATTTCAGATGTCCTTGTTCAGCATGTACATGTACTTTTGGCTTCAGTGCGGGTTGCTTGGTAGCAGAAGATGGCACGTAGGGACTCTGCCGGTTCAGCTGAGCATACAGGAGGGGCTGAAGAAAGTATGGATTTCTACCTTTGAGGTGTCCACTGAATCAGCAGTTTAATTGAAAGCAGAAGAAAAACGAATTTATTTTAAGAAGTCGTGAGACAGGGATCCACGAACTCACTAAAATTAACGCTACGTCTCCCTCTATTGGATGTAAAATGAAGTGAAGCAACAACAAAAAAGTCGTCAGCCTGCCTTGCTTTCCCGCAGCACACAAGTTGCATACAGCCGTTTATACAGGAATGGCGACTGATTTTTATAGTAATTTTGGGAACAGAAATTAATTTGGTTCTAAAAGCCAGAGTTGATCTAAATTTGAAATGATTGCTCTCTCAGGTGTCAGATGCAAGTGGATCCATGCAGGTGTCCGTGGTAGCAGAGGAAAACCCCTTCTCCATGGCTATGCTTTTGTCTGAGGAGTGCTTCATTTTGGACAATGGTGCTGCAAGGAAGATCTTTGTGTGGAAAGGTAAGCGATCACTTCTTGCAAATGCAGAAGCGATGCAGACATATGTAAGGAGTCGACACATCGCCCTCGGGACACTAGCAAGGATTTAATACTGGCTGGACACAGCACCTTGCACACAAGTTCTTCCTTGGTGTAGTCAGTGGACAAGGGTTGCTCACTTCGGTAAAGGCCCCAAGACCAAGTCTTGTCTAAGCATCCGGGCTATTTTTGACGTATCTGTAAGCGTGGGTGCCTAAATGCTTATCTAAGCGGCCATTACAAAGCAAACATAAAGAATTCCACAAATTCTGTATATTGACATCAAATCCCTATCTTCTGGGACAAAATCTGGACACTGAAGGTTTGATAATGGGTAGGTATTATATTTCCATACATTGCTCCACAGAGGTGTGAAATTGAAAGGTGAGTATCCCAGGCATCAATGAAAAACATAAGCTTGCAGATACTTTGATGCATCTTTTTTTCTTGTGAATATTTCTCTGTGGTATCATCAATGCTTGTAGGAGCGTCTGCAATTGCTTTGACTGAACATTTCCCAGGAGAAGAGTACTGCTGGGGAATTAGGTCTGGACACCTTGTAGCTGGATTGTTGTGGTTTTTGTCTGAGACAGTGTATTAATTATTCTGTGGAATTTCCATTTCTTTTTACCATGTACAATAGCAAATAATTAATTGATGCAGTTGTCAGACTGCTGAAGTCAGTCCAGGAAGTGTTGTAAGCATTTTGTTTTAAAACTTCCTTTGCGGTTAGGGAAGCATCCTTTAAAAGAGAGCATTTTGGGAGCATTGTGCTCAGATGGCCTAAGGTCTGCCTGACCCCCTGATTCCTGGTTTTCACTCTCTACCTGACAGCTCCTAGAAGAAACAAGCCAGGCATAAAATAAATAAAATATAATTCAGGCCCTTTGTATGCATCTCTGTGTGCTCATCTGTGCATCCTCATTTTGCTACTGTTGGTAACAATGATGTGTGGAAAAACCCCATTAGTGTGTGAGTGTCACCCTTGCACTGGGAGGCTGCAGTTATCATCTCAGCTGGAAATCTTCAGATCACTAAGCTGCGGAGTGTGAATTACTTTGCTAATAGTCTCATTCAAAATGGAATACAATGAATAGCTTATCAGAGCATTTTATTAGACTGAGAGGTCTTTGGAGTATAGTCGTTGGCAGCCAGCTGGGACACAGACCAGATGCACAATATCATCCCACAGAGACTTTCAGAGATGCCTAACGCTGAGCAAAGCTAAACAAGGAGCAATGGGTGGAGAAAGGTGGTGGTAAATTGCACACCCCAGCCAGACAAAATGGGATTTTCTTTTACCTGGAGTGTGGCACTGCCTGAAGAAGTGAAGGCAGTCCTGGACAGGAGCTTTATCTACCACACTGCAGCCCAGTGGGAAGATTCAGAGAAAAGATCCAGGGTCTTCTTGTACCTTGAACCACGCAGATATTCTGAACAGTATTTTTTGACAGAAACACACACACAAAGCAAAAATTAATTCCCCCTTTAAAAAAAAAAAAAAAAAATATTTTAACTGTTTTCAAAGCCACGGAGGTACTGTTATGGCCATTCAGCTTTGTGTGAATCTTGTTGCTCATGCGACGTCCAGCACTTGTGTTTGTTCAAGATTGAGACAGGATCAATGTCAAAGAGAACCTGGCTCAAGGACATCTTGTCTTTGGAGGTTCTGTGAGCTTATTGCCATTTCCCATGTATTGTTATCCTTCTGTTTTAACCAGGCAAAAATGCTAACCCACAAGAGAGAAAAGCTGCTATGAAGAATGCTGAACATTTCATACAGCAGATGAATTATCCTGCCAACACACAGGTGCGATCTATTTATGAGGTGATACCGGGAAAGCATGAGCTCTGTTAAAGACTTTGTTTTTAAATCAGCAAAAAAATATTTTAGAGCATTATAAGACATAAGGGCAATGTTTCACTAATAGATAATTCAGAAAAGTTTCTGTTTGAGTAACTGTGCCCGTTTTGTTTTCCTTCCATTTCATGTGTCTTGCTTCATTTCAGATTCAAGTGCTTCCCGAAGGAGGTGAAACACCAATTTTCAAACAATTTTTCAGAGACTGGAAGGATAAAGATCAAAGTGATGGCTTTGGCAAAGTATATGTCACAGAGAGAGTGGCTAAAATAGAGCAGATTGAATTTGATGCTACCAAGTTACATGAGTCTCCACAAATGGCTGCCCAGCATAACATGGTAGATGACGGTTCAGGGAAAGTGGAGGTAATTCTTGTGTTGTATTAAATTGTATTCTGCCTACCTCGCTTATTCTGTTGTGGGATAAGCTGCTACTCTATGTTTTGCCATTTACACTATTGTGTAGAGTAACACTGCATTAGTGGCTGTGTCACTTCTACCATCAGACAAGTTACTTTGAAGCAGAAAGTGAATCTCTTTGTCAGCTGTATGCTGGGTCACGTTTGTTTGGTGGTTATGAAATATGTTGTACCAGTCATCAATAGAAATCAAACACCAGAAACATTTCCCCTTCTACACAATGCTTCTTAAAGATATGCTTTAAACATGATTCTTAGCCTAAAGAAAAAATTCCAGCTCATATCAGCTTGAAATCTGGAATGGGAAAACTTGCCCTTGGAGTCAGAAATTTGTTCTGTGCCTTTATGTGTGTATCCCAATCTGGTTTCTAGAGGAACTTTCTTTGTCCCTAGCGTGTCTCTCAGGTAGCCTGGATTTAGAGAGAAAAAGATGACTGACTGTACAGTCTTTCTAGATCTATTCATATCCCACTGCAGGAATGTCTTTGGACTACACAGGGCTGGTTAGGCATTGACCAGTACGACCAGTTGAATACAGGTCTGTATCTTGGGATGCTGGAAGAGAAAGATAAATACCTACAGTCTCACTGGTATATTTTCTAGGTTTCCAACCTCATACTTGGGATGGTCTGTAGGCTTGAGCTAAAGCGGCTTGGATGTGAAGGTTTTTTTGCTGTATAATTTTAGTAGTAGGTGCTTGGAGAGCAGTTGTTAACGGAATTGGGCTGTCATGAATCAAATAGTAAGAAATTGGCCTAACTGTGTTATCTGACTACAGTGTGCCCCTCCCAAATGACATGATAGTTCTATGATGAATCATAATGTTTCATAATAACATATTACAATCTGAAGATGTTAAGAATGTAAGTTCAGCATAGCATTATGGCGTTAAAGCATTATGGCATTAATCATGTGGCGTTAAAACATCAAGACAAAGAAAAAGGTACTGCAGTGGCTTGCTGATGAAGAATGTATTCATTCATTCATTCAGTGGGCACAGGCTGTATCTCTCTACTTCATGAAGAATCCTTCCTGGTTTTATTCTATAAAACTTGGTAACAGAAACAAAGGTCACGCAAGGGATGACACAATGAATTGCTTCTTGAAGAGTCTCAGGTTGAAGTTCAGCATTCTCCAGTGATTTCTCTGTTTCCCCAGATCTGGCGTGTGGAAAGCAGCGGCAGAGTTCCTGTGGAACCCGAGACATATGGACAGTTCTACGGTGGTGACTGCTACATTATCCTCTACACTTACCCTAAAGGACAGATCATTTACACATGGTATGTTTGGTCGGCTTTACACAGACCTCCAGCATAGCGATATTATTTTGTGCTGACTTTATGTCCTTTTGAATAGAACCACATGTAAATGCAAGGTTGTTTACTGTGCATTTGTCATGCAGTATAAGCTCTGGATTATTTTGAAACTGGACTTAACAATTATCTTTCTCCTTGTCTTCCTCAGGCAAGGAGCCCATGCTACAAGAGATGAACTGACTGCGTCTGCATTTCTGACTGTTCAGCTGGATCGGTTATTGAATGATCAGGCTGTGCAGGTCGGTGTCTTTTGGATAAAATTCAACAAAGCATGCATTACCGACCTGTGAGCCTCACCTCTGTGCCTGGAAGGGTCATGGAACAGATCCTCCTAGAAGCCATGCTAAGGCACATGGAGGACAGGGAGGTGATTCGAGACAGCCAGCATGGCTTCACCAACCAAGGGCAAGTCCTGCCTGACCATCCCAGTGGCTTTCTGTGATGGTGTGACTACATCAGTGGACCAGGGAAGAGCTAGGGATGCCGTCTGTCTGGAATTCTGTAAGGCCTTTGACATGGTCCCCCACAACGTCTTTCTCTCTAAATTGGAGGATATGGATTTGATGGGTGGACTGTTTGGTAGATGAGGAATTGGTTGGGAGGTTGCAGCCAGAGAGTAGCGGTCAACGGCTCAGTGTCCAGATGGAGATTGGTGACAAGCGGTGTCCCTCAGGGGTCCATAATGGGACCAGTGCTGTTTAATATCTTCGTCGATGACACAGTGTGATCGAGTGCACCCTCAGCAGGTTTGCAGATGACACCAAGCTGAGTGCTGCAGTTGACACACGTGAGGGACAAGTTGCCATCCAGAGGAACCTGGACAAGCTGGACAGGTGGGCCTGTGTGAACCTCATGAGGTTCAACAAGGCCAAGTGCAAGGTCCTGCACCTGGGCTGGGGCAACCCCTGCTATCAATACAGGCTGGGCATGAAGGGATTGAGAGCAGCGCTGCCAAGAAGGACTTGGGGGTACTGGTGGATGAAAAGCTGGACATGAGCTGACAGTGTGCACTTGCGGCCCAGAAAGCCAACCATGTCCTGGGCTGCATCAAAAGCAACGTGGCCAGCAGGTTGGGGGAGGGGATTCTGCCCCTCTGCTCTGGTGAGACCCCAGCTGGAGTCCTACATCCAGCTCTGGAGCCCTCAGCACATTTCTATATGCAGATGTCAAGGAGAATTGAATGGAGAAGGTAGCGTGTGAAGGCTGGGAATATCAACTGCTCATGGTCTGTATCGAGCCAAGCACCATGGGCTCCTTTAAAAGTAACTGGAGATTTCCCATTTGCATCATCCTTGCTGAAAGCAGATGTCCAAAAGAACACAGATATAACACAGCCTGAAACTACCTTTTCTTTCCTTCAACTTTCACTGTCTAAAAATTAGGTTTTAGTCCTGCCTAGCCTTACAAACTCTGTACGTGGTCAGTGGAGACTGAAGGATAAGATCCACCAGCTCGCTGTGAAGCAGGTGTCTGACAGAGCTGACAGGGCGATAGCTCTGTGTGAGCTCCCCTGTCTCCTTTTGCTTATGTAGGAAGCTGTGACGTTTAGCCCAGGCAAGACGCCTGACTTTTAGAGGGCCAGGACTGGGAGACATGACAGCCCCATGACAGCCGGGAGGGGAGAGCCTGCAGGAGCTGTGCCGCAGGGGCTGGCGTGTCCCTGCCATAGTGAGGAATGGAACTTGGGTTTTCCCATCCCGTAGTGCCTGCAGCTCCGTGAAAAGCAGGGTACACGTCCTCGCCTGCAGAAATGCGGTGTGCAAGGGAAGGCGCAGGACACTGGCAGCTAAAAGGCGTGAGATGAGCTACTCCTAGCGTGACTAGAATGTGTGCTCTCCTTTCATCCCTAGTGAGGAGTGGCGGGTAGGTGGAGAGGTGAGAGGTCTCCTCTTTTCACAGAAAGGCTAGAGCTGGAAGATGCCTAGGGACAGACAGAGATTTTCTAGGCAGTAGGAGGTAATTCTCTGTTTCCCATTTCTTAATTATCAAAGTAAAGGACTTCCCCACTCACTAAGGTATGGTTAATTTAGATGGCAGGTCACATTTTTAGCTATTAATCAGTTATGATTTATGATTGAAATGATATTTAAGGAAGGATTAGAACACTTCTAGGTAATTACTCTTTATAACATTCCTAACACATGTTCTATATTTGGACAGAGTTCAGCTTAATATGGTCCTGCCTCATAACTAAGGCCAATACTAATACTACGGTAATAATAATATTACTACTAACAACTGCAATAATAATGTGCTTGAAAAGCCTTTTTATTAAAGCTGAAGGAGATCCGTCTCACTACAACGGACATGATACTTTAAAGTACGTTTAGCCTGCAACAAATTTAGGAATAGATGTATGTGTGTGCATATATATATATGTATTTGTATATATACATGCATATGTATATATGCATGTGTGCATTTATATGCATGTACATGGCTACCTAGAATATATTACCTGTGCTTAACGTCTGTTATAAGCAGTATTTGAAAGGTTTACATGTACTATTTTGTGATCACTAGATGGCAATACAGTACAAATGACTACTAAAAAGTCGTTCCCCTACCTGTTGTGTTTTGCCGGAATATGTTTCCCTCAGCAGGTTTGGGGGAGGGGGGTCTGGTGGTGTTTGGGTTTTGTTTTTTGGGTTTTTTTTTCATTCATAAAATCCTGCCGCAGTTTGGCACCTACAAGTGTACGTGTCCTAGGGTACCCTGCTCAGGCAACTGTACCAGTCTGTCCTGTGGTGAGACAAGTGACAGCCCCTGCTCCTACTGCCCAGCACAACCACCACCGCCCCAAGCCTCACCGGGCAGGGATGAAGGCCCGGGGCTCTCCACTCCTCCTCCTCCCCTGGCTACGCAGCATGCCTCATTCCCTTTTTTCCCCTTTATCCCTGGGAGCAAAGTCGCAGCCCTCCACCTTGGCGGGTGGTACTGTTAGAAAGGATGGCCAAATGGTTGCGTACAAACAACTTTTACCATACATTAACCTAAAAACAGTCATTCTTCGTAGCTCAGTGTTGTTCTGAGATGGCAATAACATCTTTTTCATCTGTAATGGAAGTTCTTTTTTGTCATCCATGTTATCCTCTGCAAGACAGATTTACGCTCACCTTTTTCATCCTCTTGCAGCTAAAATACACATAGAAATAATGAACAGGATGAATAACCGTTCTTTTCTGCTTAAATACAGGGCACCTAAACTTCCAAGGTAGTTTTTCAGGGGAATTAAGTCACTCTATAAAACTCTGTGAAATGACAGTTCTTTTGAAAAAAGGAGTAATTTTCTTATTACAGTAGATAGCAGCCATTTTAATCAGCTAAACATTATGTTAGAAGTTTGGATCTTGTCTTTGTGTCAGAGTGATTGACAAAAAAATCTCACAAATGCTCCAACTTTAATGTGTCTGGAACTATATTTTTAGATCTTCTCAGCTTGCCACTTCTCATTCTTGCTAACATACTTAGCATTATTGGCTAACATCCCCTATGCTGTTCAACGAAGACCAAAAATAACTACTTGTATCCTTTTGTTTCTTTTATTGCATTTCTTTATGTATGTACAGATCCGAGTCAGCCAAGGCAAAGAGCCCACACATTTACTGAGCTTGTTCAAAAACAATCCGCTTACTGTCTACAAGGATGGGACATCCAAGAAGGAAGGTCAGAAACCTGCTCCTCCCATGCGACTCTTCCAAATCCGCAGGAACCTGTCAGCCATTACCAGGATTGCGGAGGTAAGGTCACCTGCTAAGTAAACCAGCTGTTCCCCGTGGGAAATGGTACAGCTGCCACGAGCCTCTCTGACTAATCTTGTTGGGTAGTCCCATGTGGACGGTAATAAATCACAGAGGATGTGCCATAACTGGTTGCAACCAATCTGCATCTTTCAGAGGATACTGTAAGAAAACGTGTAGTGAACAGTCAGCTGACAAAGTATAGGCAAGAAATCAGCAAGCCTTATGAAATAGTCCTTCCTGCTGCCAGACAGTCCTAACTTTTGCCCTTCGGGTCAGTTCCCTGTCTCAAGTTAAGTTCTTCTCTAATTTATATCAGTATAAATCCAGGGAAAAGTTCAAGGAAAAAAGCATAGCTGATTAACATCTATCTACATGTTTTATACAAACATGCAAAATAGTGATCGCATTATTTGAAAATATGAAGAATAAACCAATTTCTTTCTTGATCTAGGTTGACGTTGACGCAATGTCACTAAACTCTAACGATGTCTTTGTTCTGAAACTGCCAAACAACTCTGGCTACACCTGGGTAGGAGAAGGAGCAAGCAAAGAAGAGGAACAAGGAGCCCAATACATTGCCAGTGTTCTTAAATGCCAGACTGCCAAGATTAATGAAGGCCGGGAACCAGGTTAGTATGAGGCCACATGGTTGCTAATGGGCAGCTGAGACTACCCAGCATTGCATGGAAATACAGCCTACATGGGTTTTGTGATCATGTATTTTGTAGGCAGAAGCATATGCTCATTCTCTCTCTTTGAAAATCCAGCCCTACATTTTACCACGGAGATCTATCCAGAACTGGCTGAGGCACAAGCAGGGCGATGCCCCAGCAGTCTGTAGGACAGTAGCAGGAGCTGAAGAGGAATGTGGTCCTTTCTTCACCCCAAGTGCCTAGGAGAGAGAAAAGACATAGCACATTGCTCTTTCTAGGTCTGCAAGTGATATCTTTGTTGTTATTTTGACAAACCACAGGAAGAACTGCAAGAAAATGCACCCATCTTTGAGACAGACAAGATGATGTTGTTTGGGGATTCTTGAAACAGTATTTAACAAGCTAAACCATCAAACGTTAAACGCACTGCTGAATAAATTATATATTGTGTGTTTCAGAGGAATTCTGGAAAGCACTTGGAGGTAAAAAAAAATACCAGACTTCATCACAACTCTTGACAAAGGCTGAAGATCACCCCCCTCGCCTGTACGGTTGTTCTAATAAGACTGGCAGATTTATTGTGAGTATATAAGGGATACTTTCCTCCTGTTTAATTACATATTTTCTGGTATATTTTGCCTTGGGAATCATCAGACATTAAATGAATTTAGGGATCTGGCTTAATTAGTCAAGCTTGGCAAGAACTAGAGAGTTGAGGTTCGGTGATTTAAATCAATCCAGATGCAAAGGACGGACAGAAGAATTAATACTGCAGACGTTTGCATGCAGAGCCTGCTCCAGCCTGGGACTAGAGGCTTGCAGATGCAAAAAGATAAGGCGTTTGCCCTGTCAAAAGCAATTGTGTTCTTGCAGAGCACTGACGGACTGCTATAATTTCGCTGAGAAACTGAAGGTCAGTGCCTTGCCCCTTACATGTTTGATAGTGGTGGTGAGGAAAAGAAATGTCCCTCGCCAAAAATGCCTGGCAGTCTGAAAATTTCCATAGAGATTTCAGACATGTAATTATGCCTCTAAGGTATTGGCCTGTGCTCAAGGGGGCAGGAAGAACTATTTCCTTAGCAGAAATACCCGGAGCTGTGCACTGGGTGTTAAGCCTGTGATTCAGGCTTAATTACTTACCATATTCTGGGGGGGCAACACTGTGTCACTGTTTGGCAAGGATGCACTGATTTTTGGGTAGGGGACATGGCTGGCTACCATCTCTGCAGTCTCCTTAAGGCACAGTCCATTTATCTGGAGAGGAATAAAACAAATAGAATCCTTTAATAAGGACTTTAAAATCTTACCAGAGTACTAAAGTGTATTCTTCTAGCAAGCTTTTAAAACACTCCTGGAAAATACAGTAATAGGAGCCAGCCTCTCTACAATAGTCTGTTGGGAGCTATGCACTTGTTTGGTTTTTGTTTTTCATTCTCTCCAAATTCTGTGAAATCCCCTCTTTCCTATAGCATTTCTCTAGTAACAGAATCACCACTGTTAGAGCTCATCAGAAGACGTAGGTCAGATCACTCTGACCTTGTGGCCACCATAACACAGAGCAGGGAAAAGTAATGTCTTTTGCACCATCTGCTTACCAACCCTTCAGCGCTTCTACACAACGAAGCATAGCCAAACCCTTGACAGTCTTTTAAAAGTAGAGGGTTGACCACTATTATTATCTCCCCTTCTCATACAGAATAACAAAAAACTCTTTCCTATCTGCCTGCACGTCCTTGGAAGAAGCAAGCAGTCTGCCATTCCTTTGCGGACTAATCCCCGATGGCTTTGTCAACTGTAATGTCCCATTGTCAAGTGACCTGAAAGCTTGCTTGGGTGTGTATTTCATCTGAGCTCACCCACTGCAAACCAAAGCAATTTCTTTTCCTTACTAATGAATGTAAGATGCGTGAATGGATCAGCTGGGATCAGCTGGTTGATTCAATCTGCTTGGTACAAGGTGCTCTGTGGACATTTCCCTGTCCTCTTCTTCTGGCAGACCTCAGTTCCAACTTAAAAGTAGTCACAATTACAATGTAAACGTCTGCCTCTCCTGAGGATATCCTGTCAATTCTGACAAACTGAGAGATGATTTTATAGGACATGCAATGATGTGATCTCTTTCCTTTCAGTGAAACACCCTTGACACATTCATTGAATCAGTTCAGGTCTTGACCCTTCAGGAGCAAAAAGAATGGCACACCAGCTTCAGGACTTATCCTTTTAAAAATATCTTTGGTCTGTGCAAAATCAGAATATCTTGATAAATCATTAAAAAACAAAAAAAAATCCAAAATATAATATCCTTTTTAGATTGAGGAGGTCCCAGGAGAATTCACTCAGGATGATTTGGCTGAAGATGATGTCATGTTGCTGGATGCTTGGGAGCAGGTAAGCTGTGTACTTGACCACTGCATTTTGTGGTAACAAGGATAATTTATTCTTAACCACTTAGATCATAAGATGGGAGGAAAAATCATGCTTGTGAGAATGGAAGAGGTTTGGTTTTCTTTAAATTATACCAGAGGGAGATATGTTTTTTGAACTATGTGATGTGCAGAGGCCACAGCAGGCACTTCCCAATAAAACCAGTGGAGGCTGCAAGAGTATAAGCCCCAGTGGTGTTCTCAAAGGCTTGCAATAATGTTCTTGACTTTATCACTAAAATCTATTAATTTTAAAAAAGATACAAAAAGATATTGCATGAAAGGTATTCAGAAGCCACAAAATCCGTGTAGCAGCAGCTCCTACAAGTCTTACCAGAGAAGGGGGCAAATGCTAGACCCGTACACAGATTTCGTCAGAAGAACTGGGCAGAGGATGACAGAAACAATCTCCGTCATTTTCCCAGGTTCACTGAAAACTGAAAATGTCGAGAGCATTTTGGATGACAGGCAAACTTACTGCAGGTGTGGAGAGCACATCTGTTTCTCATGGTATATTCTTTCTACCCTTCCTCTCCCCCTGGAGGGAAAGGGGGAGGAGGCCACAGATCCCATGCTTTATTTGTCTTCTTCAGCCTAACTCTTCAGGAAAAAAAGGCTGATGTTTTTGGAAATGAGAAGGAACATCCAAGGTCCATGTGGAAGGAAGTGATGGGGGAAGGTAGGTGGAAGAGCTGGATGGAAAGTAGTTGGGACATACTGACTCGGGGAAGAAGGAAAGAAGTCTGGGACATGACAGAAAAAAACTACGTGGGGATTGCAGATGGAGGCTCTGATGTTGAGTTATTCTGTGGATTTACCCAGCAGTTACCCTGGGCAGCACTGATCACAGGGCACAAGCGTTGATGCGCATGCAGAGCTCAGACCAGAGACAGCTCGTGTTCAGTTTTTTTACCTGCAGCTGAAGAGCAATTTCCTTGGCAAACTGTAAAAGATACCCATGGAAAAGGTAATTAGAGTTCCTCTTCTCAGAGGGCATAAAGGTCCGGCCTTCCAGTGATAAGAGAGCGGTGAGATTTCAGAGGACAGAACAACAGCCTCTTGCAAGGGGAAAAAAAAAAAAAATCATTGATTGTGGTTTGGGAGAGCTGTGCATCTCTGCGGTCTTTTCATAGTATGTATTCTTTCTCCTAGTGGAATCCACTATGTTATACTTTACCTGCTGTACAGAACATCCTCATAACAACATGGGGGCTAAATCTTTCTCTCCTCTGTTTGCAGGTTTTTGTCTGGATTGGGAAGGATGCTAATGAAACTGAGCGACAGGAATCTGTTAAATCTGGTAAATCAAATCAGTTTGGTAGAATTTCGAGTACAGTAGCATCAATATTACTTAAAGAAGTGAAAAAAGATGATGTAGAAGAAATCTAGTTACGTTTACAGTGTTTAAAAGGGTTATTGAGCTTATTAGGATTTAATCCTGGAGAAGATTATTTTCTCCTTTAAACGTGCTTTAAAACTCATTGTATCTTTCTTATCTGTAAGTTTATGAAGGGTAAAATTAATCAAGATAGCATTACTGGGCTGCAGAGCTTTTTAAAGAATATATAGGAGAGCTCCATGAAAAGCAAGTGCACTGAAAAGAGAAAGAATTTAAAGGGAGGTACCTACTGAGCTGCACACTACACTAATGTACATAGACAAAGGAATGCCAACAAATCCTCAAGTCCTTACACTGCCACCCTTCACTGAGTTACATTTCGAGGGGAAAATGCCAACTGCAGAACAAATCAAGACAACTCACGTGGAATGTACCTCCTTGAGAAATCACGTGTCATCTCTGGCGTGATTTCACATAGCTGAGCCGTTCTGACAGAGTTCGTGCTAAAACCGCTTGCAGGTATTTCCCTGGAGCGGCGAGGGTTACCCAGCTCCCTTTCCGATGTGTATTGATGTCACATTGTGATGTCAAGGGAAACAATACTGGCTTTTACATAGGAAAAATGGGAATGACGCTTGTGCATTTGCAGAGCACCAGCAAATTCTTTCTCCTGCTCAAGAGCCAAAACCCAGCTGTACGGCAACAAACTGATCAGAGGAACAATCCCTCTCTTTTAACCTCCTGGAAAATTCCTTCACTGGCAGCTGGGAGAAATCAGCAATTACCTAATCATTTCATTGCCTTTGAAATAATTTAATTGAATACTGTATTATAATAGCCCTGGTTCTTTCACTAGGGCTTATAATGTATTTTTTTATACCAAAGGAATGAACTAGTGTATTACATGTTTTATTTCCTCTCTGGTTCCAGCCAGGCGCTATATTGAAACGGATCCTTCTGGCAGAGATAAGGGGACCCCCATTGTCATCGTGAAGCAGGGGCACGAACCCCCGACATTCACAGGCTGGTTCCTGGCTTGGGACTCCAACAAATGGAAGAACTGATCTAGCCAAGGAGGCTTCAGCTTCAAGCCAAAGAATGATCAGAGCCCAGCTATTTTCTAGTATTTTCTAGTATTTTTAAGCATAAGCTTATGCGACAATGTGAGGCATCTGTTGTTGCACTTTCCCGAGCTTTCATACATTTCTGTGAATAATGTAGAAATTCTTAGCACTGGAAGGCATGAAGGATAATTGTAAACTGGTCAAAGGGGGTGAGTAGGGCTTTTCATGTAGTAAATATGGAACGTGCTACCAGCACTTCGTTTAACCTATTGTTTCTTCAAACAGAAGCTGTGGATCAGTTTATTTTAATGTGCTAAAATGGGCCAAATCCTGCCTTCACGTAAAAATCCAAACTAATGCCAAAGAAATTCCTTCAGATTAAGGTCAGCATAATACTGTGCAGAATTTGGCCTAATAACGGACTAATTCTATGTCTGTTGCAAGGATTACACCTGGACATGATTTACTTACCAGGCCAAAATACTGCCACACTCACTCACATAAAATTTCAGATGATCCCTGATCCAGAATGGGAGCTGTGTCTTGCGAGGGGGGCAAATAAGGGATGAGTATTTTGAGAAAGCTGTGCTTAACATGTTAGTACGTATATTTGGAGCTTAGGTTTTTTAGGGGCTGTCTAGCTCACTGTAATGAATTTCTTTTGATTTCTCTCTCTGAACCAGCCTCCAGCTGCAGGTCTTTTTAACCAGAGCTCTTAAACAAATTCTAGTGCACTAATGTTTCTAAGTGGAAGCAGAAGAAGTAACAGCTTCAAAAATACTTACTCTGCCTTAACCAGATTGCACTTAAGCCAAGCTTTGTCTCCGTTGCCTTACTCAGCAGTACTCAGTTTTTTTCCAGCGTGCAGACTGCTGACCTTGTCAGGTGCAGGGTGCATTTCTACTCATTTTCTATGCAGGTCAAATATCAAGTACACAAAGTGCAAGGAAACCCCTTGTTTCAGCAGCATTTCTACATCCTGGAATTTGGAGTGGGAGTATGCACCATAGAATATTGCCTTCTCTTTTCTCTCAGAGATGGTTATTTTGGATTTTTTTTTTTAATTCTGGTGAATTTAAGAGTATGTTTTCAAACTGGTTTTTATTTGTAGTTTAGCCAGAAAAGTCTATGTAAGGGCAGTGGGAAAATCTGCTTTAAACCTTCAGCACTGCTTTGAATGCGTAGCCTACAATGCTTGGTTTAGACAGTTTGTACAACTGTAAATCTTGTCAATGTGGCTTTTTAATGAAGGCATTTCAACTATTTTATTATTCTTATAAGTTAGGTTGGAAAGTGAAACTTCAGATATTTTTATATTTTTTTAACATGATTGTGATTTTGAATCTGGCTAATGCAAAAGAGTGAATTTAGTCTGAGCTCACAATCAGCATCAGTGACAAAAGAGCTGTGAACCTAAGAGATGAATTATGGGAGCCTATTAGCTTTAAACACTTGTTTAAATCTCTGCTAATATAACTGGGCTGTATCTGGCTGTAACTTCATTTAAAATAAAATTACAATAAACAGTATTCCACATGCCGAGCTGATCTTCATCTTTCTGACAGATTGTTGCTCAGCGCTTCCACTGATGACTAGCAAAACTTCCTGAAACACCAGTAGGTATCTCCATTTTTAGATGGATGATGCAATGAGAAGTTTTTGGGTTTCTGGTTGTTTTTTTTTTACTTGGGTGCCATTTTACCCAATGGAGAGCTAACTCTTTCCAACAACTTCAAAGTTACAGACCTAAGTGAAAATCCAAGAACTGGGTGCTTATTAGCTTATGATTTCATCTTTAAGAAAAACTACCCTTGTTATCAAAATCTTTGGCTTTTCTCCTTGCAAAAATTACTGACTACAGAAATGACTATTTTATAAAATAGGAGGAAATATGTGTATGCTTATTTTTAAAGGATAAGTCCTACTTTTTATTTGTGAGAGTAGATAAGGAGATGTCCTTCTCGTGCTGGAAGGAGCACAAAGACCTTTTCAGTTCCTCAGCTACTGCACTTCACGCAGCCACTGAATAGCCTGTAATTATCTGATGGTTGTCTTCATCACATAGATACAATTCTTCTCATTTTTTAAAAATAACAGTTATAGTAGCTTCTTAACCAAGGATGAGACAAGATTTGCCCTCCTTGTACGTGAACATCTTCAGAACACTGAGGGCTCTGAACCCGGCGCAATCTGCCAGCGTATTCTGCAGCACTGTGAAAGCCTCTGTTCAGTTCCCTCGCACAAGACAGAGGAGCTTTTGTGGTCTCCTGGCCCGGGTAGTTGGGTTTACAATACATTGTCCTGGCACGTCGATTACTGATGTTAAGACCATTGAGAGCTCATAACTGAACAGTGTTCTCAACTGGGCTTTAAGCACAACAGCTGCTGGCAACATTGTTCTTGGGTTTACCCGCAAGCGAGGAAGTTTATTTTTCATATGCATATGTGCAGTACACACAAAGATCTATTTCTTTCTCTCTGAAGAAGAGAGGGAGGGAGGACAGACAGGATCAACTGTAAGTGCTTGGAAATATTAAAGATTAAGCTGTTTTCAAGAAAATATTTAAGCACATAACTTTGTGAATATACATAGCAAACCCATCTGCCTTATTTTCAGAAAAAAACCAGAATTGTACAGAAGTATGCAGTACAGTCAGGTTCAGTCAAGAATGAGCTATATCTTGCATAATTATCAAACAGTATTCTCAGTCTGTTTGTTAGGGTGAAATTAGACCCTGAGTGAGCAGTTTCATTTTGCTACGAAACAGCAAGTACTCGTATATTCTATTGGTTGTAAATGCAGCGTCATTTTCCGTCTTTGTTTTATTGAACTTCATTGCAACAGAAAGATAATGTTAGGAATCCTTAGAGCCAACAGGACATTACTATACACACTATTGGTAGTTTACATAAAATAGCATAATCTTAGAATATAACTGCAGACTGTACACAGGAGATGAGCCAGCCTCTGGGATCACCGCTCTAAATATCCATTTCGACCATGGCACGTAGTGCTGTAGAACATCAGATCTGCTGCCAATGATTGTTACAGGTAGCTAAATTCAGTCGAACAGTTTGATCCCTTGCCAGTTCAGACTCACATAGGCTTCACCTGCTACAACAAGAAAATAATGAAGATGGCAGACGGCAAGATTGTGGTACTAACTGTCACAGGAGAACTAAGGAATTAAGGAACCACACAGAAAATATTTTGCTCGCTGGACTATTGCAGGAGGTGCTCTCAGGCACCTCTGTTGGCCACAGGAACACTGTTATAAACTTTGCAATATTCTTGTAGTCTTCATTTTTACTGGATCTAAAAAGGCTAAAAAAACCCCAAACCAAAACAAGCCTATTATTTTCCATGGGCTGAAGTTGCTCTTCAGAGTCCACTTCTCTATAGGAAAGCTTTGAAAAAAACCTTCAAACTTTGCTTTAGAATACAGTTGCCTCCTAAGCATCCTACTGAAGTTATGCCTCTATGGCTCAACTGAGCCAAATATGGTATGCAAGACAAAAAAAAATAAAAGTTATCTAATGAAACCAGAGTTTATAGAGTAGATAATACTTTAATGTGCTGAGTTTCCAAATCCTTGCTTTTTCCTTGCTAAGGACAATAATTTTGTCTTTAGATAAAGAAATAATACACTTTTCCCTTCTTATGGCTAGGACTTTTGCTTCTAAAATCAAAGGAACTTCTCATTTAATTGAAAACACAATCAGATCTTTAATCCACTACACGTTCTTAATGTCTCATGACATCCTTTCTAGACTGGCCTGAAGTTATTTTGACCTCCTCTGACTAGCAACACATTACCTTATGCTAAAAATCAATAAACTACACTCACTTCATCTGAAGCTTCCAAGGTGCAAGAGGGAGAAGGGCAGACCAATGGGATGTGGGAGGCCCACCATGCCATAAAATTAGTCAGTGACTGTTCTGGCCCTTCTCCGCTTGCATGTCAGTTCCCTGTTGACATGGCTGTGTATTTGCATTACAGGGGAAAAAAAAAAAAAATCTGTCCCTACAGAACAGCAGATGTAAGCTGATTGTTATTTTTCTTCTAAGTAACAGCAAATCGAGCTATTCCAGCGGAGCAGTTAGAAGGGACATTGGCCTGTACCAAGCTTCTTCCTAAATGCATCCATGCTTCCAGCCTGCACGTGCTCCCTCCTCAAAAGGATGCTACGATGTTACTGAGATCCACAAGGTTGTACCTTTCACCACCACATTTAACCAGTCAGCAGTGAAATGTGGGCCTCCCCACAAATCCAATGGAAGCATCAAGTCAAAACATTAATTTTGATTGTTTGGTCGACTACAGATCATTTGCTCAGAGAATTACCTGGGCGGGGGCAAGTAGGGCCAGTGAAGTTGTGTGCAATGTTTCTTTGGGAATGCATCAGGAAACCAAGCAGGGAGGCTGGGACAATCTGTGCAGCATCCCACTGCAAGGCCCACAGATAGATAGGCACGTTTGCTCTAGCAGCAATAAGCAATAATGCTTTGATTATTCTAACAAAGTCTCCTGACCAGTGCTACAAGAACACTGCTCTCCCTGTTGCTCTTTAACAGATTTCACAGGGGTGACTCAGGGTGATTTCACAGCAGTTGGCCATATTAACATCAAGGCTGAATGCAATCAGGTGATTTTAATATCATTTTCCAAAATAGAGGAACCTAACACAAATTTCCCTCTGGGCTTATATTTTTACGGAAGTGGCTCAGAAAGGCCACAGGTGTCCCGTGACAGGCACGGCAGCGTGGCCATGTCCCCATTTAACGAGCGGAGCGGGGCTGTAGGTATCTTTGTTGGTGCCCACCACTAACTAGCTGCTCTCCTACTGGGCTTGGGCAAGAAGTTAGTTGTTGTGGCAGGGAGAAGAGAAAGGAGCGGCAGTGATGTCTTATTAGCAAGGATGACAGGTGAGAAGCCCACTCCAACCATCCCCTACTTTCTTGCTGGATAGTCCCAGCCACCCACAGGTATCTTGTGGACCTGCTGCCAGACTCTGCCCCATCCCAGCACTTGCAGATGCGCTCCAGTACCCGCTAACTAAATATCCAACGTGTGAATTCCCAAAGACTGAAGTGATTGTTTTTGTGTGAGGAAAGGTGGCAGAAACTTGTCC